CTTCCGTGCAGCCGCTGCTCCCTCTTCTGAGGCTGCCAGAGCTTGGTTGCTGCCTCCCCAGTTCTGTTCCTGGTTGTTTATTTGTTTTCTGCTGCTGCCAGCACCTGCTTTGGGATGCTCCCTCCCTCCTCCAGGAGGCTGTTGGGGCTGGGATCAAATGGGACGAGGTGGCGAAGCCCGGAGCGTGTCCCAGCGCGTGCCTGGCAGCAGCCTCGACAGCAGCCGGGCGCCAAGAGCCCTTTGCGGCGCAGCCCTTCCACGGCGCGCTGGAGCGCGCGCCCAGCGAGCCCGCGTACCGCGCGCCGCTCGAGAAGCTCTTCTACCTGCCGCACGTGTGCAGCTTCACCTGCCTGTCGCGCGTGCGGCCCATGCGCAGCGACCAGTACCGCAGCCGCAACCCGCTGCTCATCCCGCTGCTCTACGACTTCCGCCGCATGACGGCGCGCCGGCGCGTCAACCGCAAGATGGGCTTCCACGTCATCTACAAGACGCCGTGCGGGCTGTGCCTGCGCAGCATGCAGGAGATCGAGCGCTACCTCTTCGAGACGGACTGCGACTTCCTCTTCCTCGAGATGTTCTGCCTGGACCCCTACGTGCTGGTGGACCGCAAGTTCCAGCCCTACAAGCCCTACTACTACATCGCGGACATCACCAAGGGCCGCGAGGACGTGCCGCTGTCCTGCGTCAACGAGATCGACGGCACGCCGCCGCCGCAGGTGGCCTACAGCAAGGAGCGCATCCCGGGCAAGGGCGTCTACATCAACACCAGCTGGGAGTTCCTCGTGGGCTGCGATTGCAGGGACGGCTGCAGGGACAAGTAGGTGTCTCCTCCCTGGGCTGCCTGTGCCAACCACAACCCGGGCACAGCTGGCCAGGCTGGGGGGTTTGCTGCGGAGACCCCTTCGGCACGCAGAAAAACGCGACTCCTTTTGCTCCCTGGAGGAAAGGGGCTGTAAAACTAACCTGTGGGCACGGGGTGGGTTTCTGTGTGTGTCTCCAGGTCGAAATGTGCCTGTCACCAGCTAACGGTCCAGGCGACCGGCTGCACCCCCGGCGGGCAGATCAACCCCAACTCGGGCTACCAGTACAAGAGGCTGGAGGAGTGTCTCCCCACGGGGTGAGTGGAGCTCTGCTCTCCCCTTTTCTCACCCATGTCAGCCCCACAACGTCGGCCTTCCATGCTAGCAGGCAGCATTTCCTGAAGCTAAATGCACATCCTAGAAAAGTTGCCTCCATTCCTGATTCATGGCCAACTTGTGGCCCAGGATCTCTCTCCTTTCCTGCGGTATCTGAGAGCTGATGGACTCCCTGCACTGCCAGGCTTCAAGCTGATGCTGTTGCTGAACTCTCAGCAGTCCTAACACCACAAAATCTGGGGCTGGGCCTTTCTTTAAGGGAAAATAATTCTGATTCTAGGGAGGGCTGTCACTGTTCTCCCTTCTTGCAGCGTCTACGAGTGCAACAAGAGGTGCAAGTGCAATGTGAACATGTGCACCAACCGCCTGGTGCAGCACGGCCTCCAGGTGCGGCTGCAGCTCTTCAAGACCCAGAACAAAGGCTGGGGCATCCGCTGCCTCGACGACATTGCCAAGGGCTCCTTCGTCTGCATCTACGCAGGTAGGATCTCGCCCTGCTCAACGAGTGGGTGGCGACAGCTCCGCTTGAAAACGGTGCTGTGCTGAGCCGGGCCCTTCTTGGCAGGCGCCTGGGTTCATTTCTGAAACTGGTTCCTTTTGTTTAAGCTGGGGCGCGGGGGGAATAAGATCTGGCTGAGAGCAAGACCTTGGCTTTGTTCTTGTGAAATGCAAACCCAGCGGAGTGGGGGCGAAGCCTGTCCTGGTGCGAGGGCCAGGAAGGTGCAAATCGAGCTGCACCGCTCGCGGCAGCGTGGTGGATCCCTGAGCGAGGCCCCTTGCCCGGCTCTCAAACAAGACGCCGCGGTGCCAGCGACCAGAGCAGTGTTTTTGTGCAGCGAGGGTGAATCGACAGATACCTCCTTCCTGTTTGTGCCGAGCCGGTCCCTGGGACGCCCTGGCAGGCCAATGAAATGCAGAAGTTGCACCCCGTGCTTGCGTTAGCTCAGAAGAGGAACTAACCGCGGGCATCGCCCGAGCTCTCGCACTTTGGTTTCTCACCCTTAGCGCTGCCCCCGTGCTGCATCCTCACCTCCAGCCTAAAGTCTCCAGGCTGAAAGGCAATTGCTCTGTTGCAGTGGCTGTTTAGAGACCTCCTCCTTGGAATCCTGGATGTTAGGGGCCGCCACGTGCCCGAGGTTGTCCCTGCCTCGAGCAGGAGGGCGACACGTTGTCCTTTCCCAGCCCAGCTCCAGGGCGAGATGGTGTCGGCCCCGTGCGCTGCTCCCTGCCCCTCTGGGGAGGATAAGGTGTGTGGTGGGAATGTCCTTGCATGCAAACCCACTGCTTGTGCTCTCTTCCGCAGGGAAAATCCTCACGGATGACTTTGCTGACAAGGAGGGCCTGGAGATGGGCGACGAGTACTTTGCGAACCTGGACCACATCGAGAGCGTGGAGAACTTCAAGGAGGGCTACGAGAGCGACGCCAAGTGCTCCTCCGACAGCAGCGGGGTGGACCTCAAGGACGAGGAGGAGGAGAACACGGGCACCGAGGAGCAGGAGGAGTCCAACGAGGACAGCTCGGACGAGAACTTCTGCAGGGACGAGGACTTCAGCACGAGCTCGGTGTGGCGCAGCTACGCCACGCGCCGGCAGACCCGCGGCCAGAAGGAGAACGGGCTCTCGGAGACGGCCTCCAAGGACTCCGGGCCGGCCCGGCCCGACGAGGCCGCGCCGGCCGCCTCCTGCAAGCTGCCCATGTCCGAGGAGAGCTCCAAGAACAAGGTGGCCTCGTGGCTGAGCTCCAACAGCGTCGCCGACGCGCTCCAGGACACCGACAGCGCCTCCTCCTGCAAGCTGAGCGAGGGGGGCGACGCCAAGGGCTGCAAGGCAGAGCTGCCCGGCGACAGGGAGAAGGCCTCCACCTCGGGCCTCGGCGACGCGGACGGAGAGGCAAAAGTGTCCAAGAAAGATGTAAGGGAGGACGGGGCTGCGGGAGGGCCAGTGTGGGATGGGCAGGGGGAGCCCCGTGGTTGCTGAGAGCCCAGGCGAGAGGAGGCAGTTTGGGGGGCTTTGGGGAGCTCCCCCAGGAGGGCCAAAGGAGGCTCAGGAAGGGCAAGGTTTTAATCCAAGGTTCTCCCCTGCGCAGGAGCCTGAGGACCCCAGCAAGCCTCCCGGGTAAGGCTCCATGAACGGTGCTCCTTCCTCACCTCGTATTTCCCTGCGTGCTGGCGCGGCGCCCGCGTCCCCGCGGTGCGGCCACGAGGGCCACCCGCTCCTGTCCCCGCTCC